AGGGATTGTGGGTCTGGCGCGGGATCGGGCAGTGTTTCGTTCTGCTGTGCATGGGGTCGCTATGAGTCGGAAACGACTCGACGGCACTTAACAACAACATATTTTTATTCACATTCATCAAGACAGTGCATCAATTTTCCATAAGTATAATACTAGATGTAATGGTAGCTTTAAATGATTTAATGGAGGGAGAACACTTAGAATATTTCCTTACCACACATTAAATGCTCAAGACTTATTATATTATATACCATTTTATTTTAGGAAGACTTAATTTAGTTAATAAAATTTACTAATTGTTTATTCATAGATCTATATGACATTAAGAAACTCTGGTGGGGCAGTGCCTAAGCATTTGACTGCTAACCAAAAGGTTAGTGGTTCAAACCCACCAGGCATTCTGGGGCAATATACTTCCAAAAAGATTTACTGCCTCAAAAATCCATTTAGGATTGTATGAATCAGAATGGACTCAATGTCAGTGAATTTGGTTTTAGTTTACACATTTTTCTTAATAAAGAAGGGCTGTGTAAGATAAATTTTCCTATTTGCTTTGACAGATTACCTCTGGCACAATAACCTAGAATATTCATTTGGCAGGATGTTTAGCCCCAAAAGCCAGCATATTTTTCTCTCTCCTCAAAATATTCTGTTATGGAGCTCATGGGGGCTTGGCCACTAATCATCTTAGCCAAGCAAGTTCTCCTTCGTATTCAGTCAGGGGAGACATGTGGGAAGTAAACCAGAAAAAAATGGATAAAGCAGATAAAGAGAAAAGTAAGAGTAGATTAGGTACCAGTTTGGGATGGATACTACTGATGCTGAGTACCAGTCATGGATTTGTTTTTTGGGGGGCTAACCTGGTGTGCCAATGCAAAAGTTGATAGCCTTCATATACATGTATTAGAAGATTCAGACTTTGTATATTCCTTGTTCCAATTTTTAAAGAATGTTTGCAGCTGTTTCCAATTTTGAGTCATGCCCCATCAGCAAATGAAGATCCCGAAAGTTTTACTCCATCCATGTAATTAAAGTCATTTCCACAGAGCTCTGGTAATGTAGTGGGAGCCCTGGTAGCATAGTGCCTAAGGCATCTGACTGCTAACCAGAAGGCTGGTGGTTCAAACCCACCAGCCACTCCTCAGAAGGAAGATAGGGCTATCTACTTCCATAGTGATACTGCCTTGGAAACCCAAGGAGGGGTCACTATGAGTCAGGTCTGAGTTGACGGCACATAAAAACAACAACAACTATGCTGAAGAGGCAAATCTTCCCTAGTCGTATTTTGAGTGTCTTCCAACTTGTGGGGCTCATCTTCTGACGCTATGTCAGACAGTGTTTCACTGCTATTCACAAGTTTTCAGTAGCAAACTTATTCAGAAGTATATGGCCCCATTCTTCTTCTCAGCCTAAGTCTGGAAGCTCTGTTGAAACCTGTTCACCATGGGTGACCTTGCTGGTATTTGAAATAATGACAGCATAGTCTCTGGCCTCACAGCAACACACAAGCCACCACAATATGACAAACTGACAGAAGAGTGGTTTAAATTTAAAGTCTTTTACCAAGATTTTCCCAATCCAAGATACCATTTGCTTTTTTGATGACTATTTCTATGGGTATTGATTGTTGATCTAAGTAGGATGAAATCCTTGGAAACTTCAATTTTTTTCTTCATTTGTCATGATGTTGTTTATCAGCCCAGTTGTGAAGACTTTTGTTTTCTTTACATTCTGGTTTCATCCATACTGAAGGGTGTAGAATTCATGTTTGGCAAGCAAGGTTGTGTCATCTGCATATCACAAGTTGTTAATAGGTCATCCTCCAATCCTGATGTCACTGTCTTTTTTCATACAGTCCAGTTTCTCAAATTATTTGTTTAGAATACAGGTAGAATAGTAAGGTGGAAGGATACAATCCTGTTGCATACCATTTACTTTTTTTTTTTTTTTAATTGTGATTTTGGTGAAAGTTTATAGAGCAAATTGATTTTCCATACATCAGTTCATACACATTTTGTTTCATTATATTGATTGCAATCCCACAATGCAATAGCCCTTTTCCCACTTCCTTCCTGTGGCTACCTTTTCCCTGTGTCCTTCTTTCCCCTGTATTCCTGCCCTCTGAGCTATCTCCCTGTGTAAATACTGCCTTTCTGGTCTCCTATGATTGATTGTTCTAAGGAATGTACCTACCTGGTATAAATGTTCAGCTTGTAAGCTTGTCTGTTGTTTGGCTGGAAGCCACAGGTGTGAGATCAATTCCAGGCCCAAAGGGTGACTGGCAGCCGTGGTCTCAGGGGTTTCACCATTCTCTGTCAGTCGAGTAAGCCTGGCCTTTTTTCTGATTTTGTGTTTTGTTCCATATTTTTCTCCCATTCTATCCTATACCTGCTACACTAATCCTTTTCTGAGTGGTTTGACAGTGGTAGCTGGGCACCATTTAGTTCTTCTGGTCTCAGGGTCATGTGAGCTGAGGTTATCCCTTGAACTAATTGTTTCCATGTGTCCTTGGTTTTCTTCATTCTTCTTTGCTTCTGATGAGAAGAGACCACTTAGCATCTTAGGTGGCCACTTGCAAGCTTTTAAGACCCCAGTCACTTCTCACCAAAGTAGGATGTAGAACAATGTTTTCGTACTATGCTGTGCCAATTGAGCTTGATGTCCCCTGTGACCATGGTTCCAAGCCCACAGGCCAACAACTCACTTCCACTGGGTGGTTGGCTATGGCTAAGACGTCATCATGACTTTGCACCTTGTTAACTCTATTACATATATGGATATTCTTATAGCATATACAAATACATATATAGAAATATCATCTGCCAAACTTATATATGGTCCTGGGTATATTCCCTTTTGCCTAGATGTACCTGATTATTCAACCTTTTTATCCTCTCATAGATTAATGTTTGTCATTACTGATAATGCAGTATTGTGTATGTGGAAGTGTTTATCCCTGTTGTCTGTACCTCTTGTGCACCTCCCTGTGCCTTCTTTTTCCCAGGTATTACTATGCTGGTCACCTGCTTTTGTCATAATGCCTTTCCCTTCACCCAATTCAATACTTTGTCTCTTACTTATCTAGCACTTTTCCCTCCTTTCCTCTCTCATCCCTGGTAACCAACAAAGAAAGTTTCTTTCCATATGTAAACCTTCTCTTGACTTTTTAGAATAGTGAACTTATACAATATGTGTCCTTCTGTGATTGACTTATTTCACTCAGCATAATGTCCTCCAAGTTCATCAATGTTATGCAGTGTTTTGTGGATTCTACATTATTCTTTAATGTTCCATAGTATTCCATGTGTGAATGTATCATAGTTTGGTTATCCATTCATCTGTTGATGGGCACTTAGGTTGCTTCCATTGCTTTGCTATCGTGAATAGTGCTACAATGAACATGGGTGTGCATATCTGATATACTGATTCTCACTTCTTTAGGATATATACCTAGTAATGGAATTGCTAGGTTAAATGGTATTTGTATTTCCAGCTTTTTAAGAAATTGCCATACCTTTTACTAAAGTGGTTGTGTCATTTTACAGTTCCACCAGTGGTGTAGGAGGGTATCTTTCCATATCCTCAACAACATTTGTTATTTTCTGTCTCGTTGAACTTTACTATTAGTGCTGGGCCGAGATGGTGTATATCATTGTTGTTTTGATTTGTGTCTCTCTAATGGTAAAATCACAAACATTTCTTCATATGTTCTTTAGCTGCTTGAATATCTTCTTTGGTGAAGTGTTTGTTCATGTCTTCCCCCCACCTTTTTTTTTTTTTTTTTTTTAGTAGATTGTTTGTCTTTTTGATGTTGAGGTGTTGGAGTTTTCTATATGTTTTAGAAATGAATCCTTTGTCAGATATGTCATTGCCGAATATTTTTTCCCAATCTGTATGTTCTCTTTTTACTCTTTTGGAGAAGTCTTATAATGCATGTAAGAATTAAATTTGTTTGGAAGGTGCCAAGCATCTAGTTTATCTTCTGGCGTTTCTGCATTTTTACTTAAATTTCATAGTCTCTTAATACCATCAGGGCTCCTAAGTTTTTCCCTATTTTTCTGTTGATGAAACCATTTCCAAATTTGAATCATGCAGTATCTCCTTTGTTTGAATGGCAGCCTTTTGATCCATGTTCCATATGAGTGCAGTGAAATATTTTGGAATTCCCATTCTTTGTAATGTTTCCATAAT